TTCTGTGCTTTCCTAACAGTGATTAGGAGCATAAATCACCAGATTTATTAGACATCCCTATTATCCCTACTACTACTAATAATTAATCACCTGATCACCATAATCTGGTGAATTTCAAAATAAAGGGCCTATCTTTAAAATGACTGAATTGATGTTTTCATTTTGTATCAATAAANTAAGCCGCAGGTTTTTTTATGTTTAATGTCCGTCTTTCTTGCTGTCGTTCTGTCTCGTAACACTTGCGGTAGAAGTCTGCTTCCGGAGGACCTTCGCATTCCCCCACACACGGCTACCGTACTTGCGTGTTGAAGCAAATGTGATGTCAACATGGTGGATGGTAAAATCCATAGATTTAGGTATGACGCTAGTGGCCGTTAGCTGTAAAAGTCCATAGATAAGCCGCATTGTTATATAAGCGGCAAGGTCGAAAAATGGGGAAAAAGTTGCGGCTTATAGTCTGAAAATTACGGTAACATGTCAAGGTCTTTAAATGTGGAAAATAAATAAAAGTGCTTTCCCTTCTTAAAAGAATAAAGGAGAAAAGATCTGATATCAGATGCCATCAAACTAATGTTTAACATAAAGCTACTATACTGTAGTCTAGCTAAACCCTGGTCAGTACTGGGATGCTTTCAGACTTTCAATGTTTCAAATTACTTTAAGTCACAAGGGTTAAGTATTTAATTGTGATGCCTTCTGGGAACACTGGGCTCAGAAAGTTTTTAAATATCAGGGTATGATGCTGGTATGTTAGGTCTCCAAGCTGCAACTTTCCTCACCTTCTCCTCTTCACTGGATAAATCTCCATAAAACCCTTCAACCTAAATTTAAGTTGAAGACATTCCTAAACTGAAATGATTAATTGATTATTGGTAAATTAATCTGAAAAAATAACCTTCTTACAGCAGTAATTAAGACAAGGCCCTACAAATATTATATTTCTAAACATATAATGCAATGAATTTAAGAGCAAATTGTATATAAAACGTTCTGCCTTTTATAATAATTTCAAATGCACAACAAAAGTTATTTTTCTATATTCCAAATGTTTATTTTGTCCTTCACCAGCTTTGGTCATTATTCCCCTCTGTTCTGGGGTCAGCTAACGTATGCTAATAATGGATTTTAAAATAAATTGTATTGCCTATCAGCATTGCCCTTATGACTTGGATAAAAGCACCCATGTTATCTGAAGTAGAGCCAATGCGATGTTAACAGAATCATGTGAGTTGATTGGTAAATTTACTAAAGATGCTAAGAAAATTTACTAAATGGGTGTGTCCACAGCGCAAAATGTTCCCGCCGATTACAGCTGCACACTTGAGACACAAAATATTATTTCACAGCAGCTGCATTCATGTGACCAATTGCACCATGTATCTGTCCTCATAGGCTTCAAAGTAAAGCGTCCTACAGGGCATCTCAGTTTCAGCAAAATCAACCTACGCCAGGAATGAAAGCAACAGAAAGACAGTAATTATAGGCTAGGGAGTAGCAGTTTCAGTTCACAGCGCTGTAGGACGTCCAAGTCTCTGTAGTTCTGTTTTATCAAGGGTTTGCTCCCAGTGGAGCTTCATGCAAACATGGCTTCCCTGATGTAAGACACGTCAGAGCACTACCAGGGGCGTAATGATAGCTTAAAGAGATGGTACAGATCAAAATTGCCTTCTAAAACAAATTAAAGCTTTCACACAAACGAAGAGCAGAACAGTCCAGTTTAGAGAAAACCAGTCTGCATTTAAAGAAACTGAAACCACTTTTACTTCAAAGATCCTTTCTGCAGATCTTCTAAGATGTATACACAATAATGAGAACAGATCTAATGCTTTTTTCTTTTCCCCTGTTGAACATTTTTATTTAAAGGAAACAACCAAAATTTAGGAAAACGACAGGTTAGGGCCCAGTTAAGACAGATGGCTCATCCTGTGAGAAGAGCTGCGTGATATCAAGACACTAAGATCAGGTATACCCGTTTTCATTTTTCAAATCTGTCTCATCTTTGCTTCCTATGTAGCGTTACCTTAAGCATTCTGGGTAATGTTATTAAGCTTAATGCAAGCACCTGCTGCTGCGAGACTATGTCCAATTATCACCACTTGGACAGCGTTTCCTCTGCTAATATCCAAGCAGGGCGGGCGATGTCGTTGCTGGGTGAGGCCGGATCACTTTAATGGCATTTGGTGAACTTATGCCAATAAATTTATTAACCTCTTTAAGTAATGCTGGATCTCAAACCAGTGCTGGATTCTGTGCCTATGTGGTCGGTAATACACGTTCAACACTCTTTGTCAACAATGTTCGCTACTCCAGGTGTTCCAGTAAAACTTCAGACTGGATCAATTTAATATCACGCATATTAACGGGAGATACAAATTCCCCTTACAGCGTAAAAAAAATAAATAAAAGAAAGATACAAAACAAGTCGCATAAATTGGCAAAGATTCTGTAAAGTAAGGAGAAAATATCAGTGGAGCACAGAGGGTTTGTGAAGGATTCAGCAGCATACAAAATTAACCTTTTTTAGAGTGTTAATGAAAGGAACACTACTTACATCCCCCTATCATCCCATCCCATACATGCATTTTGAACATGTGCAGGGTACAAAGAACATTAAGCCCGAGCCCCTATCAAAATCTTAGGGAAAACATTGTATTGGCCAAAAATTATAACAATCCAAACGATGGCAATGACAGTTTATTCACGATCATTTGAGCCATCCTAGAAGAAATTTAACGGCCTGGCAAAAGTGGGCCTTCTTCATCTTTATGTTATGACCCAAAGGATGGAAAAAAATTTATAACAACAGATGTCAGTTTTCTTTTCTACTTTTCTACCTTTTGGTGTTTTCGAATCATAAAAAAAAAAAGGTTTTGTTGAAACTCAAACTATTGAAATTAATCTCTTAGGTGAAGTTAAGAGAACAGTCTATGCTTTTTCAGTAGCCAAAAACTAATTTTAATTAGTGTTGTTAGCGGCTAAATGAGACAGGAAGCCATTTGAGCTCTCCTGACTGGTCAGACAGAAAACTAATTCAGGGCAGAACTCACTGAGAAAATATCACCATACCAAAACCTATGAACGCTTGAGGTTGCAGGCATTCAGCACTATGAATATGTTGGATTTGCTCTCTCATATGAATCAGAAGCAGATAAGATGAAGCTTGTACCGCTGTTCTGCATTCACACTGCCAAGGATAGATGGAGGTGAGTTTGGTGGCAAAGTGCCAGAGGGGAGGACAGCTCATTCAACTGTCAATGACAACTCAAGTGTTTGTTACAATCAACTCATTAAAGATTCACACACCGAGTGCCTGTTTGGGTCAAATTAAGAAACGCAGAGCAGATTCAAATTGTCCTGCTCAACATAAGAGGGGTTTAAAACCAGCTAATGGTTTGACAGTTGTTCCCTCTTCCCTATCGGTGAATTTCAGGGCTGAGGGATAATGGGAGGAATGTCTTTGTTGCCTCTCTGGCAACTGCTGCTGCTGATGGATCACAACCAATTGTTCCATTTAGCAGCAAGTCAAGTGAGGCCAAGAAACTGCCTGGCCTCCCTGCAGGCTGAGAAAGGGAAGAAATGATTGAGAGAGAGGAAAAAGTATGAAACCCCCGTGTGTTTGCTGAATTATCTGTGATAAGAGAGAGTTGACTGTAAGAAGTCCTGCTCTATTCAGGACATTCAAAAGCATCATTTCTAGGTCTCACCTGAGAAAGAGCCCAAGGATGTGCTTATGATTTTATCAAAGCACTCAGATCTTTAAGGAAATAGAGCAGAGGCCTGGCACATCTTGACTTCACAGTTTTATTTCACCCTGCTTTGCAAATTTATTTAAAGCCTTTCCTGCTGCAGCTCTCCATGTAGCTTTTCAATTAGAAAAGGGTCTGGGCTCAGGGTGAGGCATTCGGAGCGCTGATCCCCCGCTGAAGCCCTTCAATTTTTTATTTGAATGTGCGCTTTGGCTCGTTGTTGAGCGGAAAGGCAAAGTCTGTCTTAATCTGGAGCTTTTGAACATACAAGCTTCAAAATACAGCCCCAAATTACATGGCATCCATTATCGTATTACCATCTTATCAACATCTGCACAACGAAGTTTTTATAGAAGCACAACCTGGAAAAATACAACGCAGTTGTATTCGGCCAAAGCAATGTTAACAAGTTATTACTTTAGACTAGATATATATTTTAGTAAAACGTAGTTTTGCTAAAAAGTTAATGTTTTTGTCGGAAGTAGAGCAAAAGAAGCCAAAAAATAAATAAATAATGCAGGACATTCAGGGAAAAGATGCTTCCATATACTTTTCTATTTCCATTTATGCGACAGAAGAATCTTCGCCATCCTCCTCTACAGTTTTCTCTTCACATCATCCTTGGGGGACATGTTCTCTACCTGCTAAAAAAAACCCAACAGATCCTGCTTCTATAGCAGGAGGAGATCCCTTTTAAACCGCCAACAGGTATTGACCTTCAGCCGGTCGATCCAGAGTGGAGCCGACTCTTCAGTTACAACGAAATGTGTATTAGTATCTTACCTGAATTTTATCAATATTCAATGTTATTTTGTGTAGATATGCAAACATCGGAAACGTTTTAATATCTCATTTTTTTCCTAACTCAGAAAGACTAACAAAATAAGAGTCTTTTTTAGTAGCAGAGCGATACTTCCCTCTTGCTTGCTCAGAGATGATTAAATCCAACAGTCTGCTCATAATATATTAACAAGCAGCATCTTGTTTGTTTAATCTCAAAGTTTATCCAACAAATTAGGACTGCCACATGCAGGCGACCTTTATAAAGCTGCTTTAGTTTAAAAACAAACAGCTGAATAATTAACTCACAGCTTTATTCTCTTGTGTTTCTGAGGAGCAAAGTTAATATCTCTTCCTGTTTAATCTCATATTTATTGAAGGACGGTTGGGAACGGTATCGATCAGTCAGGCTAACTAAGCAGCAAACATTGCTTATGTAGACAACCTTCATGTCTGTCAGTAATGCTCTCTTACCTGGTGAAATGTCCTGGAAGAGTGATTTCCATATAGTGTACTGTAGGGGACCCATGTACTTGGAAGTTGGGAAGTCCTCATATGTCAGATTGGTCTCATGTATCTTCCCTTTAACCCTGAAAAACAGATCAATAACGGTCTGAATTCATGTCGTCATCTGTAATTCAATACAGACTCTTGTTATGCAGGCTTTCAAAGCTTGAACAAATTATTTTCATTTATATTTTTCAAATACATAAAGGATAGTAAGCTACTTTACATGCAGAGACAATAAAACAAGGATAAAATCTACAACTAAACCTGAATCCATCCTTTTCTGCATTAAGCTCATACTAGGTTTAGAGTAGTCTTATTGAGCAATCTCAGAAAACTGAAGCAAAAACGAAGCCATGACCTCAGTAACTCCAAAATATATTACAAGAAGCAGGAAAACTAAATCTAAATTGATCAGTGCGTTCAAACAATATCAGAATAGGCTGTTTATAAACAGACCATGAGGCATATTCTTAAACCTCCACTTTTCTGTGTTAAAGTTAAACTTCAAAAGGCTTAAATGTTTATATAAAATTTTGTTCTATTATATTTCCATTTAAAATATATACAAATTTTCCAAACCTCATATTAGACATTTTAGAACAGTTTAGAAATTGAGAAGAGTGATGCATGCATTCCTTAAAACTTATGTTAAACTTAAACTTTAAAAATTAATGGCACTAAAACACTAAAACACTAAAAATTATGGCAATGGGTTCCAAACAAAAAGAGATTCGGAAACTCCGTCCAGGTGTTAGAAATTAAATTAAAATTATCTAAAGGTCAAAAAAGTAGCAAGTAGCTCCTTTCTTATATTACAACAAGTCTGCAACTAAAGGTTGAACTGAAAAACAAGGGTAGTCGTCAAAAATTATTAGAAAAATGCATCACTCTTTATGTTTTAGAAATTGGAATATAACAAGGTCAGGAAATTCAAACCAAACTGTGATTTTTTTGCAGAACATTTTTTTTGGCGATTTCTTTTCCAGATCATGAGTGTTTAAAATGAATGAAATTATTTGCAGACTTTGAATCTCATTTTCTTAAGTATTTGTATGTTGACCAGTTTCTTCTTCTATGAGCAAATCATTTTCCCAGTTAATGAAAAGCTGAGTTCTCACCATGTTATTGCTCTGTGTTATAAGGAGCCCATCAAAAACCGTTTCTGCTCTCAGCTGGCACACACAGACCTCAGTCCATCAGAGTTGCTCAGTTGGAGCTCAGACAAAACCATGAGAAGCATATTTGCAGTCATCATTTTCTCCCTCAGCAGTGCAGATAAGAAACACTGATGGAGGTGCTGCCCCGTACCTGCTCGTTCTGTGCTTTCCTAACAGTGATTAGGAGCATAAATCACCAGATTTATTAGACATCCCTATTATCCCTACTACTACTAATAATTAATCACCTGATCACCATAATCTGGTGAATTTCAAAATAAAGGGCCTATCTTTAAAATGACTGAATTGATGTTTTCATTTTGTATCAATAAACATTTAACTGATGAGGGTCAATGCATTGTTAAACTCTTAACTATAATCATCCTATAGAATCCTCAACTGAAGGCTAAAAATTATTAACTTGTGTCTATGTGTAACTTACTTGTACGTTAAAAAGTTACGATCTCAAATAGGGAAAAAAAAAAAAAGACTTCCACTGAAATAATAATTAGTGCTCTAATAAAAAAAATACTACGGTACTAGCTCTTATGTTTTTCAGTTTTGTTAGTTATTTTGAATATAATAATAATAATAATAATAATAATATAAGAAAACATAAAAATACCACAATTTCCCCATTGTTGGGCAATAAAGAGATTTTCTATTCTATTCTATGAATAGAATTCTATGCGTTTTAACAAGGCAGAATGCTGCGGTTGAATTAAAACTATCCAAAAACTCCTCCCTTAAATTGTATTTCATGATTTATATTTTAGACGCCTTAGTCATCAGATATAAAATTGTTAATATGCTTTTTTATGCTTCTGTATAAATAAGACGTTACCACGGGATTACAGAAACACAGCTGGTTTGTGTTCTAGACTAAAGCCATTCTTTCACCTCTTCAACAAAGTTATCCTGGTTTTAATAAATGATGTTCAATATTTTAAGTCTAATTTTAGAACATTTTATTCAAATTCTATAAATTTTAATAAAACCTTTAATGTCCTGCTCTTTAATCTTGATTATTTAACTTTTTTTCTGCCTTAAGATATTAAAGTGAGTAAATCCTCATCATCCACCTCCTGATTAGACATTACAGCTGGTCTAATTCAGCCCAAAAGAACCATCTGTTCAGGGATTAGCTGCTGCTGTTGCTCAAATCTCTACTTTCTCTGACTCGTCAGCAGCCTTTTCACAATGCTGAACTCTTTCTGAAGGAATTATTTAAATTAATTCACTAATGTTCTCAGAAATGTAAATGCTTCAGCATGTCGATTTCTGAGTCTGAGAAGGTGCTGGTCACACCCATACACAAACACACCTCTCTGATGTGATGGACACCCCCTCCAGGAAGTCATGGCGGCCCGTCTCACTGAGGCGCTCCTGCAGGATCTGGATGCCCTCCTTGACGTCGCGCAGCTGCTGGCTGTAGCACTGGATCTTGTGCTCGATGTCAGTCAGCTTACGGGCCGTGTCCATCTCCAGCTCCTCCAGCATGCTCTTCTGGCGCTCTCTGAGGAAACGGTGAAGCCGCTCAAATGCGTCACCAATGGTTGCACGAAGACTTTTGGCTGAAGACTGACAAAAAAAGAGGCAAAAGATTTCCTGGTTAGAAAAACTAAATGTTATGAGGCTAAAAGATAAATGCTTCAATACAGACTTCCCAAAGTAGTTTGCCTGTTTGTTGAGAATTTAGGTCATAATGGATGAACAGGGATGAATAAATCAAGAGTGTTAATATGACTCTAATCTGTGCTAATATTACATAAACAGCAATTAATTGATTCAGCACTTAGATGTATTGATTTTAAGAGGCTCTTGGGAGCATTAGTGCACAGAAGCGTCTAACCTTAAAATAAAGCGTATCAGACAATATAGGAGTAGAGGAGGAGTGTACAACAAGAACCATTACTGAGGCCAAGCTGGGTGGGAGGACCAGTGGGGAGACTAAGCAGCTAAATCCATAAAAAAATCACAGTAGTTTAAACCAAACCAGAAGAACACAAACAGAATAAGAAGAGGATTCATACATGTAGCTTTAGAAGACAACCATGAAATATTTATCAAAAGAAATTATCTTGGTACTGAGAATTAAAAAGCCCAAAAATAGGCCTTCAAAAAAATGTGCGTATATATATATATACAGGCACATCTCAATAAATTGCAATAGAATAGAAATAAAGTATTTTATTATTTATTATACAGATTACATTATGGTGAGTTTTTCCATTAAGTCTTAACGAAATATCACAAACTGTTTCATCCTTTAAACATCAGAGCTGTCACTGCTGGGCAGTGCAGACACTCTAACTTCCTGTGGGGCTTTGTTGTAACGCTCGGTTAAAGCGAGCCAAAGATCTCCTACCTAGTTAAAGTTTAACTGATGGGGTGGAGGGATGCAGCTGAGAAGCCATCAATCACACAGACATGTTTGCTGTTTGGGCCCACTGGGCCCAGTGGCACCTAGTGGGTGTCTGCAGCCATTATGGTGGGGTTCATTCCGAAGGGATTTTGAGTGGGGCGTTCAGTGTACATGCAATGTCTATGATGGACGTGGGTCAAGGTGCGTCGCTCTTGAAGCGTTTTAGCGTTTAGGCATTGAGCGCATTCCAAGAGGCAGATGCTGGAGTGGGAAACCAATCAGAATAGCTGATCCGGTAGCTATTGCATTGCATCAAAGCCTTGATTTCTCCTCTTGCACAGATGAAATCTATGAAATTTCATAGATATCATAAATAGTTTTTGGACATATTTAGAGCACTTTAATCATTTTTTAATAAGCCTCTCCTGAGGCTGATCAAGCATCACAAAATAGGAAAATGCAATAGCGACTTTCCTTTGCTGAAGAGCTGCAGCAGTAGAGCTGTCACTCGGGATTTCAAGTACAGTCCGCCTGTATGCTGGGGTCTGCTGCTCAGAACAACAGAATAAAGTAGGATCACAACTGTGATGAACTGACTCCACGGATCACTTTTTTGAGGGATGTACTTTCTTGCATTAAAAACATGTCAAAACTTATTTTTTTCCCCAATCCTCAAAGTAAATTAAGCCTAGCCCCTATCTTGATTGCATCTGCCATTGTACAGATGAGAAGGGCAAAGTAAAACAACAAGGAAAAACCTCCAGATGCGAGTCAGAGGTGTCAGTGCACTGTGTTCGAGGCACGTCAAGAGCATCAAAAACGTCTGACTTTAATGTGTACAAGCGTCCAAGTTTAGGTGTCGGATGCCTTTTTGACGCCCAAAGTGTGCTCGGTGTGAACAAACTTTGAGGCGTCATGCTGCACATTTTCCTTGGAGGCATGACATCAAGTGATGCTGAGGGTATATCAAATCTGCAGCCCTTTACAGCACAACCTTTAAGGTTAAAATTAAAGAAACCATTTGAGCTAAAAAATCATCAAAGTAAAGAGAAGCAGGGCTTTATATAAAATATATGCATCACTGTCGGTCTGAGAATGACATAAGTAAAATGGCATCATCTCAGCTCTCTGAAGAAAATATAAAGCAGAAGGCAGGGGTCATTTCATGATCAGCTTCATAGATGCATCAAAGATCAATGCCGTCAGTGTGGCCCATTTCCAGGAACAGCACTCTCTTCAAATGGATGTGAAGCTAATGAGATCAGCTCATTTCTAGTGAGCTAGAAGACCTATATCAGGCAGCTGGAGAAAGTCAATAAAACGGCCATCACCTGCAAGAGTCTGCAAAGGGTGGACAAGTAAGTGAGCCTTGCAGAAACATCATGCAGAGGCTTTAAACAAAAACAAATGGGAAGAATAAAAAATCTTCTCAGCCTTCAGTCAAACCAACATTTAGTGTCGTAACAGAGGAGAAAGAGAAGAGTGTCTCTTTATAGGAGGGTGTGGGTCATTGAAAGGGTCAGTCCAACGTTTACGGCTCAATAATATATTTTCACCTCATCTTTGATTCATGATTTCAATTTGATCAGCCTAGTTTTTTTTATTTTTTGTAGAATGAGTTCAGGGTTCAACTCTCACAGTGGGACATTTAATGTATCCCATCAGACAGAAACTGATGAATCTTACTTTTTATTGCTGTAGCTGTGAGTTTTAGAGGCTGTGAACACCGAGCTAATAATTAGCTGTTGGGACCATCTGAGGAACCTGCAGCAAAAAATACACATCACCTTTCCTTTTAGTGCATACCGTAAAGCTACTGGCCCCTAAATAAAATAAAAAATAAACCTGTAATACAGAATCTGTCAGTGTCTAAATGAAATTCTTCAGTGTTGGTAGAACCAGAGTCCTTAATGGTACACTTCAGTGTAGCGGGCTGCTAAACTGAAGGCTGTGACCACTATGTTGAAATTTAACATGGCATAAGCCAGATTGATTATCTACACAGAATCTATCTGGAAAGGCTCCTGTGGAAAGTGTTTACAAAAGGGAGGGACATTCACTACAGTTCTTCGAGCTGATTGGGTAAATCACCAAGTGGCAACTGCCTCCCACATCAGCTTTTAGCCAATCACAGCAGCATTAGCAGTGGTGACACATCACATTCCAGATTTGTTTTACAACTAGCGGAGGTAACTGATAAACATACGAAATCCGGTAGGGAGGAACGGGCAAACATCTTTGCCAACCAAAAAGCCACAAATCAAATTGTTTCTTTTGGCTTGTTTTTCAAAAAAATAAAAAAAAATATAGAGGTTATTCCAGATAAAATAAACTGAATGTTATATCCACAGGTGCAGCCATGTTTGTTTTGCTTTAGGCTTCTGGTTGTCATCATATGCTGCACTGCATTTCATTGGTTCAAAACATATCAGTACTTGAGGCTAACACATCTATTGGTACCTGGCAAAATGTGTTTTCAGGAGTTTGCAATTTCACAAATCTCACAGCAATTAATCTTGCTTCCAAGCTGCCTGTAAGCTGAATTTAGTTGACTGCGCACATTTTTTATGAGCTAATCAGCACTTTGACTGACATCTAGGCCCCTTTTCCCGGGAATCTGTCCAGGGCACTTTAGGCCCACGGCTGATTGTCAAAAATTACTCTGAAATTAGGCCAGAAGGCTGCAGTGGAAACTGTTTTTAGACTAGCTTACCTCTTTATTTTCATGTATACGTGAGAAACATGTCTGTTTGAGGACTCCCCCCAGCCCTTCAGACTCATTGACTCAGACTCACCTTGAGTGTGCTGTCAGACAGATAAACACATGCACTTCCACTGGGCTAAGAGACAGAGAGCAACCTTTTAAGACAGGGCTCCATGTTCTGAAGGATGCCAGAGGTTTTTTTCCCCCCTAACCAATAAAATGCAGCATCATCGGCGTGTCGGTGCATAGGCCAATCAGGTCTGATGACCCATGTCAATATGACAACTTTAATTTTAATGGTTTATAGAAACATTGCCTTCCAATATGGAGAAAGGATCCAAAGAAATAGGAGTGAGCTTAAATAGAGGCAAAAAAGAAGACACAGGTGCAACAGAGAGGATAAATAAATTTGATTTGCTCTATCAGCCTAAATTTTTGGGGGTACATTTTTTTATTTAAAAATCTTATGAACTTGAATTAATTCTGCTGTGCAAAGTAATGTGGTCTTGCAGAGACACTGACTCTCCTTCTGAGGCAGCAGATGGAGTTACTCTTTGAAGTTCCTTTTCATTTGCTGACCACTTGAGGCGACCAAGCATGAAGCCTGCCTGTGTAACCAACTCTAAAGTTTTATAAAACAAATAAAGCCTATTCACATTCACGCTCGTGCTGCTGAATGTTTGTGCTTTAGTGTTCCAGATCCATCAATGCCTAATGAAGCCAGAGTCAATAAGTACCCATGACCGTGGAAGTGATTTAAATCAGGATTGATTAATAAACACCAGCTGTTAGCAGCTCTCTAACCAAAGTAAAAACATATTTTAAGTCTGAATAGCAGCACTGATGTACCGATCAGGCGGCTGATGATAGAAATTGCCCAATTGCGAGCACTGGCCAGTGAGTCATCAAACCCGAAAGCTCACACTTTATTTGGTCTCAAAAAACAGCCTGTTATAACAAAGTTCAGATAAAGGTTAGGAACAGAGAAATAACAATTGGTTTTGTGGTTGATTTCAGACCAAGATTTCCAAAACCAGACGGATGAAAAAAAAAAAAAAAAAGAAAAAAAACAGCAGAACTCCTTGGCTGTACTCTGCTCAGTACTCCTGCTATCTGATTCAAGGCTCCAACTGTCTCACAGCCTGAATGAACAGACATGTTTCACCAGGTTCTAGCAAATAGTTTATTTCTAAAAAGTTCTTACATCTTAATTTTACTGATCACGGATCCTTAAAACAGCTAACCTTTACCCAGAAACAGCATCGACAGCCGGGCATACACTGTGCGATATTTTCAATTGTTGTACTCAGCGACAGCTCAAACTGTACGACGAAACAGCAGGGTTTAAAAATTCACAGCTAACGATGTATGTTCACACACTGTGCGGCCCAACGCTCTGATGCGACCTAAGGATGGCCGACTGAATTTTAAACATGTTCTTTTTTCTCCCGACCTTACGATTCCTGATCGGGAGGTGGTTGTGAAAGGCTAATGGCCCCTTGTTACCCTACACTACACGACGCAGGAAAAGGCTGAAAGTCAGGCCGATCGAAAAATTCTTTCAAGCCCAAAAAGGGCAAAAAAATCATACAGTGTATCCCCTGCGTAACAGACTGATTTCTCAGTGAGCTCTGGTTATGGTATATGTGCTCAAAATGAGCTTAAACCTTCCAATTTCTGATTGATTTGAACTCTACCTACATTATGTGACCTGGAGCAGAACTTTTGGTTTTAAGGTCAATATTCTTTTTCTTCTTTGGCAGCGAGATTACCAATGTATTACAGGTTTAAGTGAGAAAACTGAAAGCACAGATCAGACCTCATACAAAAGCAACAGTTGGTATCAGTGGCTAAAAGGCAGATCTTACATAATATACATTTCTATATCATTTACCAATGATTAAAACAGCAGTAGAATTTTAACCTTAGATTGAGAAAGAATAAGAGAAAAGAAACTTGGAGCCGCTGGGTTTACTCATAGTGATCCTGATTATCTGCTGGTCCTGTAGGTTTTCTGCTACAGGTCCAGCGCTATATAAAAAATGATTAGATTACCTTGGTCTCTGTAAGCTGTCTCTGTAGGAGATGGAGGGCCTCGGTGTGTCCCTTCTCACTGTCCTGCAGCGAAGCCAGCTGGTCCTTCATCTCTCTCTGCAGCACAAACAACAAACCAATAATCAGAACAGAAATGTGTCTCAACAACTAAACTCAGATCGAAACTCAAACATCTTATTTTCTTTCCTGTTAATCTTAAAAACAAACTTTTACTTTCAGTCTCTGATTTGTATATGTAGAGGTTTTTTAGAGGTTTAAAATAACAGCTGGAAGACCCTTCCTGGCGACTCCAAATCCTGCTGTATTAAGATAAAAATCATATTAGTTGTGTAAAAGCTCAGTTTGATCGGATATGAGGCATCAGAGATTTTATCCTCAGCACCAAAACAAACAACCCAGACAGAGAGCGATATATGAGAGAGAATATGAAATCTCTGAAGATTTCAGGCAGCATGATAGAAAACTGGGTCTCATCCCAAATCAGACAGCAGCAGGTAAAACCTTCCCTGAACATCACCTCCAAGTGAGCCTGAGCCAGGAAACAGATGCAGAGATTAAAGCAATGAGTAACCAGGAGGTGAAATCAATGCATGCTTATAGACAAGGCATGCATGCCCTGTCTTTATTAAACAATTTCTAAAGTGAGAGATCTTGCTGACAAAGAAAGATAAGGGAACCCTCAAAATCCCATAAGATGAAAATCCATTTTGCAGAAAAGAATTCATAAAAGCTGCTCTGTTATCAAATATATTTAGTGGAATTATAGAGAAAATATGAAATTAAATCCTTAGTTGTTAAGCCCAAAAAAGATAAATGAATTAAACTGAACTTTTTATAAACTGCAGAGAATAAATGATTGCCCTCACCAAGTTTGTCTTTAGCAATACATTATTATTGTCATTAATACATTATACATTATTATTATCATTATTTATTTCCTGCATATCGTGATGATATCAAAGCCCAAGGAGTGCCTCTCCTTTCTCATTCTTAAAGGAAGATGGTTTTAAAAGACAAATGGTAAAATTAAGTGAGTTTATATTTACTTTTATAGCTGTACAGGACAATCATGGCATTTCACACTGAAGTGTTCTTATTGTGATTTGTTCTGCTAATGGAAGACCGATATATATAAAATGTTAGGTCAGGTTCCTGTAACAGACAGAAACGGCAAAGCTATGATTGGTGTATAAAGGAAGGAGCGTGACTCCCCATGTTAATGACTGGAGTGTAGCAGGCTCAGTGAGCTCATCGCTGCACATTTGTCTGCAGCAGGTCTTTAGCTGCTCCCACAGTGAGGCAGAGCAATGCTGACAGACTGGCAATAAACATTTTCCTTCACTCTTTTTCAGCAGGCTGGCTGGTCAGGAAAAGGTAACTTTAACCACTGCCCACAAACACAAAACAGACATATTAACAGGAACTTAGCAGAATGTTATTCAACCCACATGCCTCCCAATTTTAAATGCAAAATATGTTCTTGCAAATGAACAGCTCCTAACAACTTTAAATGGGAACACGGCATCTGGATTTAAAGAGGCAAAAAAGGCTTTTATAAAGAGTAAGAATCAACCTCATTGGTGCCATTATCCCCTTTAAAGTCCTACACCTGCTCTATAGCATGGAATTGCATAATCCTATAATCTCCCTAGAAGCAAAATGCACCCTTCATATGGAGATTTTACTGGAATGAGATTTCTAGCACAGGGAAAAAGCAACAGCTTTAGTAAGATACACTAAAAGAAACAGTCCTGAAAATGCACACAGATATGGGATGTATGTCCATCCATCAGTAATCTAAAAACGTAAAACACAGGTAATTTAAAGCCGGTGCGAGTAAACATTAACAGCAGAGTATGTGTGTCTGTTATGTGTGATGAAGCCTCTCCCTCCTGTCCATCCAATCTGACCAACAAGAGTCTGACATGACATTTCCCTAGGACGTCAAGCTGCAGGAAATGGGGGTCACGTCTAAAGGATTATAAATCTAAAACTCATTTCATCCTGCTGTCATTTCCTTCCTCCTCTCAGCCTTCTCTCTACCGAAGAGCCAGCTGCTGCTAGGTAGATATACATAGAAAACACGAATAAGATAACAGATCCCCCCCCAGGTTCCTTAATAAAAAACTGCACAAGACTTAGAAACCTGTATGTAGCTGTTAGAGCTCTGAGATTTATTATATCCAGCAACTTTACTGCCAGCCTCCACCAAGAGCTAAATAAAAGTACATGTGCCACAGCCTGCATCATTAAAAACAAACAGCACAGGTTGAACCTTAATATACTGTATATCTCATTCGACACACAACACAGAGCGACTCTGTCCTCTAATTAATGTGGGACCTTTTATATCTGTTCACTGCTAGGTAAACATAAAATATCCAGTAGAATTGATAGGTTTCATAAAGTCAATTTGAGACATTAGTCAAAAGGTCATACATCTGTAGCAGCTATAGAGGGAAATAGGAGATCTACAAATAACAGCAGAGAAAACTCATCTTCCTTGACACTATACATCATTATTCATATTCTCAATATATTTTAATAAAAGAAGAAAATAAACTGTTTTTTTATCAAATGATAGTTTTACTGGGGCTGCTCAGTGGAGCAGTGGGTAGCACTGCTGCCTTGCAGCCAGAAGATTCTGGGCTCGATTCCAGAGCATGTTCTCCCTGAACATGTGTGGGTTCTCTCTGGGTACTCCCGGCTTCCAAAAACATTACTGTTAGGTTAATTGGCTTCTCTAAATTCTCCTTAGGTTTGAGTGAGTGCATGAATGGTTGTTCATCCCGTTTGTCTCTGCGATGGATTAGTGACCTGTCCAGGGTGTACCCCGCCTCTCGCCCGCAGACAGCTGGAGATAGGTACTAGCACCCCTCGGGACCCCACTCGGGACAAGCGTGTCAGATAATGGATGGATGGATGGATAGTTTTACTGAGAAAGCTCCATATATGCTTTAATTGCAGTTTTCCGTTTTCTACAGGCAACATTCAAACTAGTCCTAAGGCCTGTTTTACAACCTGGGACTCAAATTCTCAACTATAATTTGGTCTAACCTGAGGTTGGAAACTGAGTTTTTGGTTTCACAACAGCTGATGTGAGTTAGTTTAATCAACTCTGTGTGGGTCCACACAGAGTTCAGCATGTGCGTAACAAGTATGAAGAGCCATTATCGGTCAAGCTCTGATTAGACTAATACCACTACAACAGGCAACAGGAAATCTCTATTTCACACCACTGGAACTAGAGATTTTAATGTTGATTGAGGAAAAAAATATTGGAGAATATGCTTAAAACCCAGAGAAACAGCGCTAAAGCTGCAAAAGAAAGGGAGATGGCAAAGGAGAGGATTGCTGCTTGAGTTAAGGCATAAATTTGCAGTCTGTTATGGCAGGACGTTGTTACATCTATTAAAATCACATTTCTAATCAGAACTGTTTGCTAGCAGAATCTAAATTTCAGAGAGTAAAAAAATATATTTTACTAGTAAGATTTTGTTTTATATACCAGTTCTGACATTTATCAGCTTGACTGAATATGTATTTATATCTGAAATACATTTCTTCCTAATCAAATAAATATAAATTGTGACAAAAAAAACGGGGATAACAATATCTGAATGCTTATTTTAGATACAAAGAATGTTATTTTGTTTCAAATGTTCATTCTGAAAAACATGCATTTCAGACATCAAAAATACACATTTAGACAAACTAATAAGAAAACATCCTGCTACAGCTAATTTTAATCACATTATGAGGGAAAATTAGTTTACCGCTTGAATGGAAGTGGATCAATGTATTTTATTGAGGTGAAAATAACTGAGGTAACTCACGTGGGTGAGTTGCACCTGTTAGCAGGTGAAGGTGGAGTATAAAAAACTTTCAAACACGAAGGACCTGTGCATGATCCTCATTTGCATCTTGTCTTCAATTATAAAGTAAATGCTAAGTGGCTGTTTGACTCTGCAGTTGTTTTGTATAATGCCGTTATTGCACACATCAAAGTTTTCTCATTTCATGTTCTATTAAATACCTGTTGAAGAAGTCTATGTAATGCTGTTAATGTGAGGTCAGATAAGGTCGTGGATGTATTCGATGGATTGTGAGATGAAATGGTAGAGCTCATAAAGATAACTCTCTGAATATAAAAGGACATCTATATAAGGCCTGAGAACTGTTTCCCTATAAATATTTAATTCTGCGAATTAATGCCGGCCATTCGTTAATTGGATTCTGGTCAAAGGGACATGCTATATTTCTGTTTTGTAACACCTAACGTCTCCAAAAGACCTAATGAATGATTTTCTTTTTATTGATCGCACAAAACTATGACAAAAACTTTCGTGACTAAATCTGGAAATACAACAACATCGTTGCTTTAAGGATGCGGAGACTGACGACAATTAGTTTATTGAGGAAATCCTGCTCTGGGCCCAGTTATCTCTGTGCAGAATGTTACTACGGTAACAAAAATAGAGGTTGAGGAAACCTGGTTTATAAAATGGGCCTTCGATTTAAGTGAGCTCAAGTGAAACTTTTATTTTGTCAATTACAGAGACTGCATGAAAAAGTGAAGTAATATCTGATCAGTGCCATTTTCAAGACAGTAATACCCTTTTAAAATCAAAGGACAATGGGCACAATCAAGGAATGCTGGATACTGATACCATACCAGGGATGGATACTACCTGCATCAAACTTTGAAGCAAGACCAAAAAAAACCTTATCAGGTGACACTAGTGTCAACAAAGAGCAGGGATAGATACTTTTTACTTTCTGGTCAACAACAGGTTTTAAAATGTTGCCTGGTCGAGTAGGTGTTCATTTTAGCTGCAGGTTTAAGATGGTACGATTAGAAACACCAGCTTGGATCATTCTAACTTTAAGTAAGCAATCTTCGAAAATCAGGGGCAGGGCTCGGTGTTAACCATTGCCCGATCGCCCGGGGCAAGTACTTTTTATTGTCGGGAGAGTACAAATTTCATTGCATTTGCCCGCGGGCAAGTGCAGTGATCGCAAAAAAAATTATCTATCACTCAAAATTACTTTAAAACCACCGACATTAGCTGAAAACAACCCAGCCGGCGCCATTT